AGACAAAGATGCCGCGGGAGGCGGGGGCGGGGGCGGGGACGCGGGGCACCGACCGGCGCCGCTGAGGAGGGGCGAGCGGCTCCCCCGCCCCCTCCGCCGGGAGAGCGGGCGGAACCCGGCCCTCGACCGCCCGCCCGCCTGAATATTCAGCAGGGGTGGGGCTCGAACAATGGCGGGGCGGCGGGCCCTCCGCGGATGGCGGCTTGGCCCGGGGTGGGGCCGGGAGCCCTCGGGGCCTTCCCGGAGGAGGTGCGGGGCGCGGCAGAACGCCCCAGCCTCCGCTAACAATGAATGAAGGACTCGGAACGGCCCGGCGGTCCCGTGGACACCCTACCCGCGCCGCTCGCCCGGGAGAGGGTGTGCCCGGACGCTCTAGGGTCCGGCTTCGGTCCCCTCCGCCGCCTACCGCCTATCGGTCCGGGAGACCCTCGTTTCCCTTTTCCGCCCCCCACGGGCTTTTCCTTTCCTTTCTCTTTTCCAAGCTCAGTTTGTGGCGTGATTGCTGCTGGAGGATTCGCCGAGCATCCCTTGACTGTCCGGGCGATTCTAAAACAGCCGCTGTGATTGCTCGCTACTGTGTTCCCCGAGCGAGTGTGGCCCATGGGCGGGCAGGCGAGCCCTCTACCCGGGATCTAAACCCGGACAGTACCTGGAGATCACTTCGGGTCACCAAACAGGCTTCTTCCAGCACGCTACAGCAAGTCAGCTAGACAATCCAAGTACTGTCCCTCCTTATCACGTTCCGGGACCAGCCAAAAACACGTTTAGTGGCTCCCTGTTACCTTACAGCGGGCGTTCCTAAGAGTACCTCAGAATGGCCAGGTAGTGTTGTAAGATCGCTGTAAAAATTGCTTGACACCCACATGTGGAAGGCCTAGAATGAGCCTGATAAGTTAACAGACGAAGCTAAGCTAGGTGATTCAGGACGCCCCCAAGATCAAAATCCACTCTAGCATCTAGTTGGCATCTAGTTCAGCACCTCCTTCCCTCTCCACACACTGTTCTCATTTAAGTGGTACACACCTTATACCCTCGGAGTAGAAAACCCCAAATACTGCAAGTATTGTACTAAACACCCTAGCCTAGAGAGGAGTGGGCATTCTCCCTTGGGCCTATCCATACCCAGAGTTCAAGTTGGCTGCCTCCAGAGAATGTCCAGCACTTCTCTACTTAGGTGTTTCTTCTAAGATGTTTCTTAGGTGTTTCTTCCAAGGTGTTTGACGTGAGACTCCATCGTAGAGTGAAATTATATTCTGAACTCTCGATATCTGTTCCGTAGGAAACGCACGGTAACAAAAGTGTTTGTGAATTTGTTAGCGCCTTTCCAGTTTGACTTTGTTAATATTTATTAATAATATAGTGTTGTATGCCAGCCATCTCATATATGTTACCTTACTGTTCTTCACATTCACCTCGAGTGGTATTCTTAATTTTGCTGCTTTACACATTGGGAAATATAATTTGAAGAATTACCTCACCCACTGTTCACAGCTGTTGGCTATACAAATATGGCAGCCTCTCCGTGCATCCCCTCCCCCACCCCCACAGGCTAGCATCAGGCCTATGACATGGAGGCCTACCTCATACCACTTCCTTCTTATCTATATGAACCCCTCCCACCAGTTCAGAGCCATCACATCCTAGTATCCCCCCCACACCCACCCATCCTAAGATACAGTGAACAGACTCCACACTGAAACCATTGTTTTCCATTTCCAAGGCAGTATCTATTATTGAAAGGGCAAGCCAACACCCAGGATATCTGAAAGAGCATCATAACGTGTCCTTGGAGAACTTACAGCCAATGGCCATAGGGCAGCTTATAAATACCCATAACAGAATATTGTAATTCCAGACAGACAGAAAGAACACCAAACAGGTATTCTCTGAAAGTCTGCTGGATTTAGGGCAAAGCTGAACTGGGTTTGAACCCTGGCTCTATTATTTATCAATTGTGCAACCTTGCTCCTGCTGCCTGACCTCTCAGCCTATTTCCTCTCCGGTATACCAGATAAAGGCAAAAGATAAAAAAGACAAATAAGAAGCCAGAGCTCGGGCAGGAACAGTGGGACTGTGACTAGGTCATAGTCTCCAAAGACACAACACCTGAAGGGAGTCCATTAAGTGTCATAGAGGCAAAGGTTAACCCCTCTCTACCTGTGGCTCAGAACTCTGTTTACACTTGTTAGCATATTGCTAGGAGCAGAGGAAAAGATGGGGCTTGCTGGATAACAGTGACCAAATGTTTGCTTTTGAACCCAAAGCCAAAGTAAATGGAACAGTCTCACATCTGCCCCACTTGAAACTAGCTCTGTGGGTAAAGCTTTGCTGAAAATGGACATGCGTTAGTTCACATAATCATAGCAAAATATCTTGAACTGGGTAGCGTTAGTATGGCAGCCCTCCATTATGTTTCTCCTTCCTGTGGTATCCTTTACCTGAGGCCAACGTTAGTCTGAAAACGTTAAATGAAAAACTCTGGAAAAATTTCACAAGCTCTAAACAACCTATTACAATATATTGTTATAATTGTTTTACTTTATTATTGTTTTTAATAAGTCACTGTGCCTACATTATGAATTAAGTTTTATCAGGTATGTATAGGAAGACAATACATTTATATTACACACACAGATGCATCTGTGCCTGTGCGCCAATGTGTGTGTTTAGACATTATCTCCATTTTCAGACATCCATTGAGGATCTTGGCAACTACCCCTGCAGATAGACTACTTTCTTATACTTCAGAGTCTCTGTGTATCCAAGATGAAGGGTTTAGACTACTTAGTTTTTACTAAGGGCTCTTCTTGTCTGGAAGATATCCACCTGGGGGCCTGATTAAGAAAAGAATGTGCTCTGAGTTGCCCTGGCCTTCTGGGATCCGCCCTTGTTGTTTTGTTTGTTTGTTTTATTTTTATGTGTGTGTGTGTGTGTGTGTGTGTGTGTGTGTTTCTGCTTGTCTTCACACCATGTGAAAAGGCCAGAGAGGCCATCAGAGCCCCTGGAACTGGAACTGAAATTAACAGGCATGTGTGACCTATCTGATGTGGATTTGGAAAACCAAGCCCAGATCCTCAGCCAACTGACCCTAACCACTGAGCCATCTCCTCAGCTCAACGTAGCCCAACTGTATTACTTTCCCAAGGACCCTACCTCCCCTTACAGACCTATGGAAAGGGAATAGACAGAGCTTCAGCATATGAATGGAGGTAGTGGACAAGCCCTGGTGGCTAAGTCTATCTATGGTGGTTTAAATGAGAATGACCCCATAAAGTCATCTATTTAAATACTTGGTCCCAGTTGATGGAACTATTTGGGAAGGATTAGTGGGCATGGCTTTGTTGGAAGAGGTATGTCACTGGGGGTGGGCTTGAGACTTCAGAATACTCACACCATTCCCAGTACTTCTCTGCTTCCTGCTTGTGCATCAGGATATGAGCTCTGACCTGTTGCTTCCCACCTCCTCCTACCCTGCTCCCTGCCATAGTGGGATGGAGGTTTACCCCTCTGGAACTGTAAGCCTCAAATAAACCCTTCTTCTATAAGCTGCCTTGTTTATGGTGTTTTGTCCTAGCAATAGAAAAGTTACTAAAATAGTATCTGATTGAGAACACAAACTGAGACATGAAAGTGGTGAATTGGAAAATAAATATCAACCTGGCATTTCAGATCAGGGAGTAAAATAGCTCTTAGATAAAGAAAGAATAAGAGCTAAGCCATAGAGACTCAGCAAAAGACTCCAGTCAGGATCCTCAGAGACAGAGTGTGCTAATTGACCTTCGATGTAACAAGAGAAAACTGTTTTCCTCAGCCTGGGAGGTTTCAGTCCATGATAAGTTGGCCCCCGTTGCTTCTCAACCTACAGCAAGATAGCACAGTGTCAGACTATAGTCATTTAGCTCATGGAAGCCAGAATCAAAGGAAGAGGAGGGAGCAGAATCCCACTAAGTCCCCAGCCCCTCAGTGACCCAGATCCTTGCTAAACCCCACTTCCTGAAGTTGCAGCGTTACTAGCAACATTGTGGAAAGAAGCCAGCCACAGAACACACAGGCCTCTGCAAGCATCTAAAATCAAAACTCTGTCCAAGGAGTGCACAGCGCAGAGTTGGGCACAACCGGTGCACTTCTGAATGCCCTGCTTCGCAACACTGTTGCAATGGAGATTAAGTTTCCGACACCGGAACTCGAAGTGACACAGTCAAACAACAACACGTGAGCTCCTCTTGGAGCTCAGCAGGCTATGGGACATGAACGCTCATCTTCCTGAGGTGCAAAGGATGGCAGTCCTATATGTACCAGGGCATAGAAGTTCCATGGGGAGACTTAATTATGCAGGGCTGTTGGTTTACTGGTTACATCACTTTGCTTATTGCCTAGTTTTTCTTTGTTGCAAAAGTGTTTGGGGAAATGTATTCTCAAGGTCAGAACAGAGCAGAGGACAGCATGGATATTGAATCAGAGC